CCAACAGCTTCCTGCCCCGGGAGGCATAAGGGTAGGAGGGCCCGTGCCAGGAGGACTAGAACCCTTTGTTCAGAGACCCCTCATGCACTTATCCTGGAGGATCTCCAGTTGCCTGCTGCTTCTGTCATGGCCATGGTGGCCAGTTCTGAGCAGCTCATCCTCAATATTACGACCACCAAGGTCAATCCTGAACAGCCTGACCTTCCTGCTATGACCATGGAGTCCAGTCTTGAGGAGACCACTCTCCCTGTCACGGCCATAGAGTCCAGTTTCGAGCAGTCTGCCCTTCCTGTCACAGTCACTGATGTCAGGCCTGAGCAGTCTACTCCTGTCACGACCATGGAAACCACTCCTAAGCAGCCCACTGTCCCTGTCATATCTATGGAGGCCGTTCTCAAGCCGTCAGTCCCCACTGACACGGAGTATGCTTCAGCCCTGGAGCCTCCAGTATCCACTCGAGCTCCTGACTAGAGGCTAGTGTTGGCTTTAGGTCTAGAGTCTGGTCCATCCCAGTCCTGCCCAGAGTCTGCCTCATCCCAGTTCAGTCCAAAGTCTGTTCCAGAGCCTGTTTCAGAGTCCGCTCCAGTCTTCCAAGAATCCGTTCATGAGTCTGTTCCTGCAGCCCCAGAGGGCAGTCCAGTAGCCCCCAAGGGTACTCAAGAATCAGGTCCTGGGTCTGTTCCTGCAGCCCCCGAGGGCAGTCAAGAGTCAGTTCCTGAGTCTATTCCTGCGGCCAAGGAGGGCATTTCAGCAGCCCCCAAGGGCCTTTCAGAGTCAATCTTTGAACCTGGACCAGAGATCCCTAAGGGCATCCCTGTTATAGCCCCAGAGCCCACTCCAGACTCCACTCCAGTTACAGAAGCTGTCCCTGTCAGTCTTGTCACATCCTCAGAGGCCAATCCTGAAAATCTTGTCAGTCATGTAAAGCCCACAGAAAATAATCCTGTCTGCCATGCTGTACCCTCAGAGACTGTCCATGTTCTGGTCAAGGAGGCTGTTCCAGAGAGCCCTAATCTGCTCATTGAAGCCACCTCAGAATCCCTTGCCAGTCATGTCTTGCCTACCAAGAATATCCGGGAATCCGCCCGTAATACCCAGTCCAGTAGGAGGCCCTCGCCTGTAAAACGTGTTCCTGTTGGGAGAGGAACCAACGGTGGCACCTGTCTGTCCCGGTCTGCAAGGGTTCCCAAGGCCGGCACCACCCTGGTCAGTCCTAAACCATTCCCCTGGAACATTTTCCGCCCTCCCTATCCCACCCCCTGTGTATCCTGACAGGCCTGGACTTCCAGGGATCCCTACCCACCTGCCCCCCCAGTCGGTACCGTTTTGGCCGCCTTCAGCAAGGTAGCTGTCTTGATTTTGTTTGTAGTTGGAGTCATTTTTTCCTAGCTTTTCCCTATTGTTATCCTTTTGTTTTCATAAGTTCCAGTTTTTTATTTCTAGTACTTATTTTAGTATTTTGTTTTTCCTTTCAGTTTTATTTCCCTATAGTCATAGTTTTGCAAGTTTCTACTTTTGATCTGTGTCTATCTCTTGTCTCTCCTGTTGTCTTGTCTTTGAGTGTGTCTGTCGAGTTGGTTCCTGCCCTGCTTCCTGAGTCCTCCCTGGTCGCTGATTCTTCTGACCTGGCAGACATTTTGGTGCTTCAAGAGTTACCATCCCCAGGGCCAAGCCTGTGGTTCCTTGAGCTGCTACCTAGTCCCCTTTTGCCACAGAGTCTGGACCTACCCCCATCCCCGACCAGCCCGTTTTCCTGTCGTGTGCCCTGCCTTATTGTGTGGACTGTCTTCCTGCCTCATCCTTTTGTGCTCTAACTTTGTTAATAAACTGTTTCCCCTGTCCATTCTGCATTTGGGTCCTCCCTTGACAAACCGTGACAGTTACTAGTGACTGTATTTGATTTTTCAGCCATTTTGCCTAAAATCATAAACATGTCTTTAATTGCTCATTGATGCAGTTGGTCTGAGACTTATCTTGCCTTCTTTGTGCTTGGCCTCTTAATTGCTGCTTGCAGCTATATTTCTTATTGATATTATTTCAGTTTTAGTTATTTGGTAACTACTGTAGCTGAAATAATAAAATATATATACATTTTTTTATTTTATTTCAAGTAACAATAATAGTTTGTTTTTAGTTTTAATTTTAGCTTTAGTTGACAATAACCTTGCACATAAGCGTGAACATAGTGCTGACCTGACTAATATTACAACAGAATATATATGAACATGTATATATTTGTGATGTCACACTTACTTTATCAAGCTCCTCGTTCCAGAGCTGATGAGAGGAGAGAGACACATACAGAAAGACATGACAAGACAAAAAAACAGAGAGCATTACAACGAAAAGAAGTGTTAAACTCAAGCTGTGTTTAATTACAGCAGAACACAAAGGGACAAAGCACGTTTGAGTGATAATTTAATTCAGAATGCTGACATCTCTGAGGTCCAAACTATAAATGGAGAGTAAATAGGTGTAATATAAGCAGAAAAATATGTGATTAGTTTGGTTATAGTGGTGAGTATTAGGTTGCTCATTTACATCCTTAATGCACAAGGGTGAAGTATGTAGAAGGGCAAAGTTATAGAAGGATATTTCTGCCCTGGAATAAAAATAAAAAAGGTAAATGCGACTTTTTCTCACAATTCAGACTTTTTGTTTCTCTGAATTCTGAGTTTACATCTCGCAATTTAGTTTTTTTGTTTCCATTACAGAATAATACAAAAAAAAATGCTGACTTTGTTTTCTCTTGCAATTTTGAGTGTTTGTATCTCACAATTCTGAGTATATATCTTGCAATTTTGAATTGATATCTTGCAATATTTACTTTTTTCTCAGAATTGTGAGAAAAAAGTCTGGACTGTGAGACAAAAAGTTACCTTTTTAATTACCTTTTTTATTTTTTTTATTCTGTGGCAGAAATAAGCTTCCATTTGTAGATTTGTATGACGAATAATGAATGACAGATTATGTTTATCATGAATATTAATACTGGAAATGTAATATGTGTATGTGTAGATATGTGTGTGTGTGTGTGTGTGTGTGTGTGTGTAGGTGGATGTCTCAGGCAGTGAAGACCGCAGGATGTTCTTACCGCAGATGCACTGGCAGACAGCACATAATGACACGGTCTGGTCTCTTGAAAGTCTGGAACAGCCTGAAACAGAAAAGAACGCGTACTTTAATACACACCTCCTGCCAAAACACAACCACTAACAGCAGATATTACAGTCTTCATCAGCTGCATTGAACTATGGGATGATAACTGCTGGTCATTGTGAAACGCTACAAACAAAAAGTAGCAATGACTTCTCTTCTAAAAGCCATCATGCATCAGAACTACAGCTTATAAAGATTCAAAGATCAGAATAATGTCAAGTTTGATCAAATTTAGATGATATTGAGCTGATCTTTGATAAATAGTAAGAATGAAAACATCTGATCTTTGATCTTGCTGAATGATGAAATAAAGATATGGCAACTGAAATATTGCATTTTTGTGTGCATTATGTATTATATTGCATTGATGAAAACCAAAACAATTTGAGTGGGTGTATATTATGATATGATGGAACAGATGATAACAAATTACACTTTCTGTTCACATATTAGCCACTAGAGGACGCTGACAAAATAACTGGATTCGGTAGACTTGAGAATCATACTTTCACTCTTGACAGAAGAAGGTTTGATTGATTTCTCTGTTTCAAACCCTCGCTGTCGACTGTCTACACAGGCAACAACAATCTCAGGCAGCATCATAAATGAAATGGATCCTCAGATGTAACTGATTTTAAACATCACACATTGGCTGAATCTTGGAAATGTTCACTTGGCAACTAACTGAATTAAGCTTAAGTACTAAAATTACTAAAACTAAAACTGAAAGAAATGAAGCCAAGCTAAATAGAAATATTAAAAAAAGCTAAAACAAATGACCTAACATTACTAAAACTTAAACTAAAATTAAAATGAAAACTGAAAATATATATAAAAGCCAATTCAAAATATTAATAAATACTCAAATAGTGGCATGTTTATAAGCCAACAAAATATATATTACAAACATTTTAATAAATTACAAAGACTTAATATTAATAAATATACAAAATAAGATATTCCAATAAGCACACACATCCAAAACATACATAAGTAATGTGTACAATTGTGTACACTTGCATATTTGACTTTAATTTCGTATATTTGACATGTGGCAATAAAGTGAGTTCTAAATAGAACTCTGAAGCAGAAGCAGAACACTGAAGTTTTCAGTTCTAAATAACACATTTTTAAAATGAAGGGCATAGCAACCTTTATAACAGAGAACTTTAGAAATTATTCCCTCTACTTTTTGGGAGAAAATCAAAAAGTAATTAAAAAAATCTCTATGCTTGTTGCAATGCATTCTGGCAATCTGGATATTTAAGGTTTACTCAGATACATGTAATTCCATCATATCATTCAAAAGAAGATCTTAGTGGAGTGCATGAAAAATGAGGAACAAAACTGAAAGGTCTTCATGTCACTGTCATTCAAAAAATGTAAAAAGGCAGAAAAAAAGCATAATGAGCATAAGAGGAAATGCACTGCGATACTCACTTCTCCCTCACACTGTGAAGGTTCAAGCAGAGACAAACAATTAGTGCTCAAACAACAGGTGAGAAATCACTCAATATTCACAACCACACACAACAAACACGAGGAACAGAGATATTTTGAGTGATGTTATCAAAGCATGACAATAAAGAAGACAAATGAGAGGAAAGGGAATTGAGAACCAGTTCTTATTCAGAACTAGTTACTTTCTTTTAAAATTCTGAAATCAAATAATAGTTTTGAAATGTTTGCATTCTGCAACCGACGTGCACAGAAGATTGTAATCAAATAAAATACACATAATAAGAGGCGAGTCTTCAAGACAATCAACTTTTGATTGATTGTTTTCCAGATTAACGATCCTCTGCAGTGAATGGGTGCCGTCAGAATGAGAGTCCAAACAGCTGATAAAGACATCACAATAATCCACAAGTAATCCACAGCACTCCAGTCCATCAGTTAATATCTTGTGAAGCCAAAAGCTGCGTGTTTGTAAGAAACAAATCCATCATTAAGAGATTTTGAACTTCAAACCGTTGCTTCCATAATAACGCTTCCTCCAGTGAAAAAGTCATCTCATCTGAATCAGGAGAGAAATCTGCACAGATCAAGCACCGTTTACAAGCCAAAACAGCTCTAAACAAATATGTGGGTGGATTTTGATGTGAGAGGACAAAAGGAGATGGACTTTTTCACTGGAGGAAGTGTTATTACGGATTACAGACTCATATTTTTGCCAGAAACAACAGTTTGAAGTTAAAATGCCATAATGACGGATATGTTTTTTACAAAAACGCAGCTTTTGGCTTCACAAGATGTTAACTGATGGACTGGAGTGGTGTGGATTACTTGTGGATTATTGTGATGTTTTTAGCAGCTGTTTGGACTCTCATTCTGACGGCACCCATTCACTGCAGAGGATCCATTGGTGATGGAATATTACATTTCTTATGTTACGATGAAGAAACAAACTTATCTACATCTTGGATGGCCTGAGGGTGAGCACATTTTCAGCAAATTTTCATTTTTGGCTGACCTATTCCTGTAAGAAAACTGGAATGTGAACCAAAATCAGAAATGCTAAATCCCTTATGATTCCTATCCCTAAAGAAAAGAGAAGAAAAATGAGGAGAGAAAAGGGTAAGTAAGTCTTACAGCTGCTTTGGCCTCTGCTGTTTTGGCCTTCTTGAGACGTGCTTTACAGGCGTCAAGATCCAAGCGCCGATTCTCCAGGAGTCTCCGCTCTTTCTGCGAGGAGGACAACATTTTTCGATGCATCAGAATCCCGTGCAAATCTATACCACAAGAGAGTCAAACTCACAGAAATGGTCCTCCAGTCGCCCTCCAGAAAGTTGCGTAAGGGTGTGAGGAAGCTAATGGATGAGGTCTGCAGAAACTCTCTCTCAGCGCCGCCCAGTCTCCTCTGACAGTCGCCCACTTTGATCAGGGTGCTTCCTACACGGCCAAAGCACAGACGAGTCACGAGTTAAACCCACAGTGTGGGCTGAATTACTAGAAACCATTTCATTTCCGACACAGATAAATTAAGTGTATTAAACAACACATCTTGAAAATAAAATCTGCTGATTTGCAAAAAAAGGGCCTAATATCACCTAATTTGATGATGCTGAGTTCAAAAATAGCAACAAAACATTCCATCATGTACAGTTTTTCACAAAATAAGGATGAAGATTTTTGAAATTATATATATGTATCAGCTTTGCCTTTAATGCACTTTTCAAAACAACAAACCCTGTCAAATGTAAAAAGTTTTGGTTTTAATGACAAAGTAGTTGAATGTATTAGTGGTCGACCGATATATCGCCAAGGTCGATATATCGGCCGATATTTGGCATTTTTCAAATATCGACATCAGTGGATACGTTTTTCTGTTTGGCCGATGCGTTCGAGGCAGGACTTTTATTTTGACGGCGCTAAGAGCGGCAGGGCCTGAGCACACAGTGCTCACATTCTCCCTCTTGTTCGCCGTCGTCGTTAACAGTTCTATCTAAATACGGATAGAAGTCTGTCTAATAATCAGATAGAACAGTTAAACAAAGGAATTAAAATGTATACAGAAAGTATTATAACGACTGCTTTTATATTATTAGTAATAGAAAGGCAAACATTATAATACTTTCTCGTTTGCCGTCAGCATTCAGCAAATACGCATTTACATTATTTAAACAAATCTTTGAATGGCTAATGAACATTTAATTTCACAAACCTTGCAAACTTGTAAAGTGTGCATGTGACCTGCATGATCGCGTGTTCTTATGGGATCATTTTCCCGCCAAATGTATTGCTGTCGCGGATAAAAAAAAAAAACAAGCGTGAAACCAAAATTTAAAAACGCAAGTAAAATTATATTGCACAAAATTTAAAAATGAAAGCAAAGTTTTCAGAATAGCAAACAATGGTCACGGATCAAAAAATAATAAGTGTAAATTATTATAACGCATTTAAAAAAATAATAAGCATGAATCAAAACTTTAAACACAGTTAAAATCATATTGCACAAACCTTATTTAGCAAAATTATCCAAATTGCACAAAAAATCATGTTTTCCTTGGTTATATTTCTCTGTTTTTTTAATATTTTTTTAAATATTTTCCGGACTACACGTTGCATTTTTTTATCTTCTGAACGTGCTATGATTTATATTCCAAAGTGACTTATATAATGCATATAAATATATTTCTCATTCTGTGTGACAAGTATAACGTTAGACAGTATCGCTGAGTTTTTCTTCATTTCAGCAAGAGGTTCACAAAGACGGCAGGTGCATTTTGTATGTTTACTTTATTTTACAAAAGTACAACGTTTCACTGTTATTTTGAAGGAACAGATAAAAAAATAGATAGTTTTGAATGATGTCTTGCTCCTATCTGACGGATATCACATCTTTCCGCTGATGTGAGTAACCCAAGTGTTCGCGCCGGTGTTCTGACAAATAATGCTACCTATCAGATTATGCTACCACCACTGTATTTATCCTACTGTAAGGGTAGGTTTAGGGTTGGGGTAGGTGTACATGTTAATAAAGCCTCACACCTTATTAATATCATGCTGGAAGCAAAATCTGATAGGTAGCACTTTTCGCAATCGAATTATGCTACCATCTGTTTTAATGGGAGGTAGCAAAATCTGACAGGGTAGCACAAATCGTCAGAACAGCGGCGCTTCCCGCACGCACACAACATAATCAGTTCTAGCATTGCAAACTTTACATCGCAGCCTCTTCATCATCAAAGTAAATGAGACAACTAAACATACAAAAGGTATTGGTGACTCAATTTAGCTTGTCTTTTGTACAGTTTTGCTGGTCAGCTCGAGCATCGCCATGCCGTGGTTTTCCAAACAAATTTATTGCATATGTGAAGGATGTTGTTTAAGTAATAAGTAGATATTCAGATATGAGAGAAGTACAAAGCCTTCTTTACAAAATAAATAGGCTAATAGTTTATCAACCAAATGTTACACCGCGTCTAACGATTCACTCATGGAAATGAGAGGTATGTGAGCCCAGCAGGAGGTTCAGTTTTTAGTTTCGTTTGAAATGAGTTAGGCTTAGCATTTAAAATAAATGTTGTTTGTAAAGAATGGCACTATAATTTATTTTATGACATACAGTTAAGCAAAACACGAGGAAGAGTGTTTTTCCTAATATCAGGACCATTGCAAATGTTTATTGAACTGAATCAATATAACAAGAAGTATATTTTGAGTGAGTTTACTATTAATAGTAACTATTTTCTCATTTTGCTCTATTTCGACAAAGAGTCTAAACAAAGCCAGAGCAGAACAGTGTCCTCTACAAGCAACACAGCAGCCTTTCGTATTGAATGATTCGCTTTATTCCTCATTGAATGAATCAGTCATTTGAATGAATGATTTAATGTCTTACTCTAAATATAGAAACTTGCCGCAACCTACTGGCTGTTTTACTTTCATATTGTTGTTATGTATAACTTTATGTATTTGAAACATTAATATGATAGTGTTAGGCAATTATATATGTAGCTATGCAAATAAACACAACACAATAAATCATTGTGTATATCAAATCCACCTGGCCTCTGTAACTGTCTACTCTGTAGCACTATCGTTTTCAATGCAAAAACATTACATTAATTCAAAATTAATTTACCGATTTACTCATTTAACGTTAACGGATCGCCAGGTAGGCGTACAGCAGTGACAGACAGACACATATAACGGTGTCCTGTATGGAAAGATGTTTCCCAGCTGACAGTTGTCCATTTTCACCTGTGCAAGTGAACAAAACACTGAGCATCGACAGTAATGAGGTGCGTTGGAGTGACGTCACCACCCCTCTTCGACTGATTGGCTAGAGGAAGAGCTGTCAATCTAGAACTAGTGGACCAATGATGATGTTTTAGCCCGCCCTGATTTACATGAAACTCTAACCGCAACATTTGGAAGAAGA